CTATGCTGTGCTGGGAAAGGTTAGGCCCAGTCAGTTAACGTTACCCAGTCCTTGGAACAAACAAAGAGGTCCTGTCCAGTGTTGTTGTAAAGTCCAGTGAGTTGGGAGGCTTCCTGGTGGAGTAAAGTCCTGTCTGGCTGCGTTGCTTTGCTGTTATCTCCTTTGTTCTCCTCACAGAGTTAGCTGTTCCATGCTAACTCTGCTACGACTCCTGTTGCTTGGAAAACCAGCTCGCCTTGTGTTGTAGCTGCTGATTCTGAAGAGAATTCAATTCACTCACAGTTAATCCGAAGCAGGTCGCTGCTGTTGAGGAGAAGAGTGTTTGCAGGCTGCTGTGAGCAGGCCGGCGAGAGAGCTGGTTTCTCAGGTAGCAGAGCTGACCTGGGCTGGGGCCTTGTTGCCCTTTGAAGAGCGGAGAGGAGAGAACAGGAGCTGCTCTCCAGAGCAAGCCAAGAAGAGAAGAGAGTGAGAAGAGGGCCAGAGGACTGGTTTTGTTTGGTGACACCCTTGGGGGTCACATGTCACATGCTGATCCACACTGGCTGGCCAATAAAGTCCTTGGGGGGAATTCACCAAAATATAAAGCTTATGAAATTCAAAAACTGACAGACAGTGGAGCTAAGGTGGGTAAGAAGTAAGCTTGGCTACATATCAAGCGCATATAACATAGGTAATTTATAACATGTCACTTATTGCATATAATGTGGAGCTTGACAACAGTGTAGTGTAGAAAACTGCACAGTTTAGTCTTTGACTAAAGATTACTGTTGCTGTCAGACATGTTTATGCTGATTTACAGCTTTCATTGTAATACACAAAATAAATTTACTACATAAAGGAAGATGTCATGATGAGCATCTGCTCAAAACATGGAGAAAAATGATTTACTTTGTCAGCATCTATTAAAATATCTGACTAGTACTGACATTGAACCCCTGTAGCAGTCCACATACAACAAACATTTTCATAGACTGTAAAAGTATATCTAAGGAGGCATGACAGATAACTACATTACACAATTCACAATAGTGCTTATTTACCAAAAAAGCTCCCAGTAATGACGAGACAGTAACAGATAGCATTAGCTACCTAGCTACAAGTTAGTAACCGTGTGCCAGCACACATCAACAAACTGAAAATGTAATGTCAAAATACACAAAATTGGTTACCAACCATTCAGAAACGTCCTGCTGCAGTTGTAGAGTTTGAACTTCTTCAGCAGCCTTTCCCTCTGGGTCAGATTCTGGATAATCTTTAAATGCTCATTTGCATTTAAAGATACAGACACAGAAACAGCCTGTTCTGGACAGGGCTGAAAAAAAGGGTTTAAAGGCATGCTGAAATATAGGATCGGAGTGGATTTTTTAGCAAGAAGCTTCAAAGACATGTTTTGGGGACCTCTGAGACTTATTCAAACTTGTTGAAAAGGAGCATAATATGTCCCCTTTAATATGTCTCTGTCTCTGGACAGATTTTATTAACGTGGGTCGCAACTCCAGCACCAGACGGTCACGAAGCTTAATAGGTGTGAAATTGAGATCAAAGTGAATGGTCGGTTCGGAAACACGTCAATGATCTTCTCTGGTTAATTACTGTAATTAATTTACTGTGACTCCAAGCTGAATATCCGTTTCCCTAAAGATGTAAATGAACATGAGGAGTAAATATTTGATTAGTCTAAAGCAACACATTAAGTACTGTCTCATCTCTGTCCTTCTTCCCATGGGGCATAGTCTGTCTGCTGGCAACACATGACTCACAGGATTGGCACAGTCAGAGACAGAAACACATATTTCTGAATAATTGAACCAACGTCTGAAAGTTTACTTTAGTTCAAAGTTTAGTGAGCACAACTGTTTTTGTCATGATAGTGTGCAGATCATTACTCATTAATCTAAAGCAGGGGTTTTCAAAGTGTGGGATAGTGGGCCTCCCCTAGGAGAACTCAAAAGCAGCCGTGCCCCCCCCCCACTATTATTACTTTTATTACTGTTGTTGATGTTGCTTTGTATGTTCCACGCAGGCTTAAAAAAAGGTTTCAAGAATAAATGTCATACACATCTTTTTTTTTTTAACATGTTTGTATGTTCTTGAACATATTTTTAAAACATTTTAAACATCTTTATCTGTGAATGTGCTCAAATATTTTTTTAAACACAATCTTTGTATATGTTTTTAACATCTTTTTGATAAAAAAAAAACTTATTCATTTAAAAAAAAATTACAATTTACAATTTAACTTTTCAACTGATTTTTTTAAACACATTTTCACTCATCCGACGTTATCCCACATTAACGCTGAAACACTGCACACAACACATTTGCTCACCTCGATTTTAGTGGGAACAGTGAGTCTGTGTCTTTGATGCGCACAGGCGGTTGATGCAGGGATGCGCTGTAGAAAGGAATAAACGCAGATCATCCTCTACCCGCAGCCGTAACCGATACTTGCTTTTAATCGTATGTGTACGTGTATGGTATGATGCCTCGGTTGCCTTGGTATTGACAATACCAAATGTCTGGACGGCTTTCTTCTGTGACCGCAATTCATTAAGCTTCCTATCAAAAAACTCCCGCGGCTTGGTTGTTAAATTGTGGTGCTTAGTTTCAATGTGGCGCCGGAGTTTACATGGTCGCATACTGTCGTTAGCTAGCACCTCTTTGCAAATAACACACTGTGGCAGCGGAGCATCGTCAGGACCAATGCATGAAAAACCAAACTTTAAATAATCAGGGTCATACTTCCTCCGTTTTCTGCTCGCCTCTGTGCCCACTCTCACTTTCACCTGAGGTACTAAAAAACGATCCATTTGCTGTAGTTAGCTAACCAGATGATACACTTTTTTTCCTTTCTTTTTGCGCCTCCCCTGGGGAGGCGTGCCTCACACTGTGAAAACCGCTGATCTAAAGGGTTTTTACATTTATATGTCTGAGGCTTAATCTGTAATTTTCTGTATTTTTACAGATGATGGTGATTTAAAGTCCCAGAGGTGCAGAAGCTCTGAACTTCCCCCTGACTGGGAGCTGAACTGAATGAGACAATCAAATCAATCACATAACATTTGCTATATGTTGTTGCTGGTATCATTGTTCATACAGTCATTATTTACCCAGTCATTACTAAGTAATATCAGTATGACTGAGGTCGAAATATTCTGAAGACCAGAGGATAAGTGATCAATCATAGGTCTTAGTGCAAGAACCCACAATCATTTTAGAATTGAATGATATCATTGTTAATGTCAGATTATGTGAAAAAGAAATAAAGAATAAATTAATGTGTCAGTTTCTGTGTCCTTATAGTTAAAGAAGAAGATCAACCTCTGCACAGCAGCAGAGATGAATTACTGTCACCTCACAGTGAGTCAAACTGAACTGATCCATAATTAGTCATGTGTTTAATGAGATTTGAACATGAATGATCCTTCCAAGAGTGTGAAATACCATTTAAATAACAGTAATATTCTGTAATATCAGTCAGAAATTGTGTAGAAACAGCAAAATGTTCTACATGAAAAGAAAACAGTGATTTTGGGGAATCAATAATATCACTGAATGAAAAGGATCCATAATGAAAAAACTGTAACAAACATTCAGGTGAGCTAATTCAACAGACTGTAACATAGAGAAGATTTATCTATTTAAATGTGGAGGGCACATGGATTTTGATTAAGAGGCAATTAATGATGGATTATAGTGAATTGAGGAGTGATGAGAATGTGTTCATTGCAGTCTTCAACCTGTTTTATTTTGTGATTTCATAGTGTCTGAACTATCTAACGATCTATATCTTGATAGTTTATTATAAACATATCTAGAGGCTCAATTAAGTACCAGATACACAGCTGCATTGTTTCTCTGACTTTTATTATGAGTCTCTCTTGCAACACAGAACAACATGCTGAAGGTTCCTAGGTAAAATACATGAGTAGGAACCTGTTGTACTATGTGGATCAAAATCTCCTCCGTTGTGTTACATGGGTGTGTTCTAATGTTCTCTCTAGAGCGGAGCACTTCTGCATTCTGATTGGTTGCCGCCGCACTGCGTCATAGCTCATTACAGTTGCCTGGACTGCAATTTATTCTGACGCCGCTGTTCGCGGGCTCGGAAAATGAATGACTTCCTTTCACTTTGACGTTCTGGCTGCTTTCGGTCTGAACGTACAGGGAGATGGAGGCAGGTTACAGCAACTAGGACTGTTGTGGAGCCTGTGGTGGGAAATCTCAAAAAGAGTCAAAGAAAAGTTTATGAGAAACTCAGCGTTCAGAGGACAAACAGATTACCGTTGGTGTGGCGTTTCCTCGTTGGAGAGCGCTGAAAGAAGAAAAGGGACTGAACACCTTACTGCTGTTGGACAGGTTGGCATTTATAAAATATTTGGAGCAGGCTATGTGTCTATCACATTTACTCTCCCTAAATAACGAATTATTGTATTGGGACTGTGGAAATGCCTCTGTATTCATCAGTGTTTGTGTAATTCCTCTCATTGCCAGAGGGGGGAGACAAACGTCTGCCTGCAGGTTAAACATGCTCTGCATATTTTCCACTGTGAGCCCCAGCTTATGTGTCGCTTTTTATGTTTGTTATTGGCACTACTTGTAAGCTATGTAGCTTTAATGTCTTCTCTCTGAGTCATAGTGTGTAGCATCCATATGCTAATCTGTTAGCACAATAACTGCACTGGTGTTAAATCAGATAATTTCTGCTGTTTCAGATTCCTATTGAGTGTAATCAGCCAGGGGACACTGGAATTTATTATAAGTGTAATTAGGGTTTAGTGTGATGTAAATGACAGATTTAGTTGGTCAGATTTCTTCAAGACATGGTTGTTTGTTTGATTTGACTTATGCCTTTGATTTGTGCTTTGTTGCAGAGCTCACACAAAGGACCTCCCTCCTCTGGAGACTGATTCTCTTACAGGAATCTGAGGACTGACTCCACAATCTAAAATGCATGAGACTCCTCCTCCTCCTCTGCTGTGAACTGTTACTTTCACTTTTATTATTCAGTCAGCAGCAACAACTGCAGCTGGTGAGTAAACTATATATAAAGTGGATTGATCTGCTATTGATTGTTGTATAGAAAGGAAAAGTGACTGGCAAATGTAACAGAGAAGAACTTTCATTTAACTCACATGAAATGTCGTATTCAAGCATCTGTTCAGACTT